TTGCCTGGTGGTCCTGGCCTTGTCTGGTTCCAAATGTACATGGGTCTCACCTCCCCCTTCAGAAAGTGTACAGCAGTGGAAGGGAGTTAAGACTTGTCATCAGGCAAATCAGAGTTCAGATCCCAACTCTGCCACTTTCGTAGCTTTATGTCTTTGGCAAGTCACTGCATCTACTTAGCCCTGTGTTTTCTTCACCCTCTCAAGTGGGGTCACATGTGTGGGGGCTGGCCCATACTCAGAGGGTGTTTAGTAAATGTCAGTCTCTGTCCAACCTCCCCCAATCCACACTGCAGAGGTGATTCTACCAAGGGAGCTGTCATAGCCCTCCCAGGGGAAAGCACTGACCTCCCCTGAAGTCTGTGGGCACTGGCAAAGGATCACCAACCCAAGAACCAGAACAGAGGCCAGGGGAGAACTCAGTCCCAGGGCATCCCAGCTCCCAGTCTCATCCTCCCTGCCCTCGCCACAGGCAGCCCAATTGTTAGACCAGATTCAGGGATGGATCTGATCACAGTCTCAAAGAATCCACTGAGCTCTCAACCTCTAAGAGGTTCTATGCCCCTATCTCCAACCTTCTCAGACCAGAAAAGCAACATCAACGGTGAACTATAAAAAATTATTTTAAAAAATAACAACTAACAATTATAAGGCTTCCTACATGACTGACATTGTTGTAGGCACTTGTATTAACTCATTTAATCTTCACAACAGCCTCTGAGCTATTAACTCCATTTTCCAGACAGGAAACTAAAAAAGTATGGAGAGGTTGAGTAACTTGCCCAAGGTCATGCATCTAGTATAAGGCAGGACTGAGTGTCAAAATCAGGCAGCGTGGCTCCAGAATCCATGCTTCTAACCACTGCGCTATAATGAGAAGAGGTAACATTTATTTTTTAATATATTTTTATTGACTTCAGAGAGGAAGGGAGAGGGAGGGAGAGAGAAAAACATCAATTGATCGGCTCCTACATGCCCCCCACTGGGGATCTGAGTCCGAAACCCAGGCATGTGCCCTTGACCAGAATCCAACCCGGGACCCTTCAGTCTGCAGGCGGATGCTGTATCCACTGAGCCAAAACAGCCAGGGCAAGAGGTAACATTTACTGGTGGTTTCTATGTGCCAAGCATATTACATGTATTTCACCTAATCCCAAATGCCGCCCTGAAATAGATACTATTATCATCATCCCAGTTGTACAGATCAAGAAGCTTAAGACAGAGAGAAAAGTTAAGCAACTTGCCTAAAATCACACAGCTCTACAGCTTCAGAACCCCTACCTGCCTCACCTCACAACCCCGCCCACACCCCCAGCTCCTCCTTCTCTGGGCGGGGTTTTCAACTATCAGCACCTTCCTTTACAAATCTGCTCTACCCCCACAGCTCACAAACCTTGTCCTCCAAGTACTCCAGTCCACTTCTGTCCCTTCCTCCCAGCTTTCCCTCCAGTCTCTCCCCTCCCCCTCAATGTCTCCCACACCTTTCCGTCCCTCTCCCTCTGCCCCCTCCCCCCTCCCCCCAGCGCCAGCTGATTCAGATGAATTTCACCAGAGAGATCATCAGAGTCCCCCACTGCGCCTTGATCTCCCACCCTGGGGAGGCACCGCAGTGGCTGAGCTGGAGAGTCAGAAATAAAATCCTCATTGGACTCCCCCACCTTCACTTCCCATCACTCATCTGGGATGCCAGAGCGAAGAAGGGAGCTAAAGTGCAGAGCATTCATTTAATATTAACAAATTGAAATGAATTCTTTTAATGCCAATTAACTTGGAGCGGCCCCTTATTAATAGTAATTTAGATTCATACTTGGGAGAAGCTGGGACGGGGGCTGGGCGGGATGTGCCTGGAATGCCAATGAGACAGCGGGATGAACACCGGAGCGGCAGAGGGAGGAACGGTGGCAGTTTTACTTCTGCCCAGTTGGGCTCTGTTTCCCTCAGAGGAATGAGCAAAGTCACCAGAGGCAGGTCTTCGGGGAACAGATTACTCTCCTAATTTGATTTTTGGACCTGCAATGACTCTGAAGAGGCTGAAACCATTTAATGGTTTATTTCACTAAAAAGAATGTCCTCAGAGCTGGGATGTACCCCAAACTCTCTTAAGCCAGAACTCACTGGCAAGAAGGGATCAGCTCTTTCTTCTTCTTTGTGTCCGTTCAAAGCCAGCGCCGAAGATCAAAATGGGATTTCCCAGTCCCTGCCAGCTCCACCTCAGTCACAAGTTAAAAAAAAAAAAAAATTTGAGGAGGGGAGCACTAAACATTGTGTGTCTCTTCTGGGAATCCTCTCCCAGGAGGGAAGAGCCCCAGCAGGCTGACCCCACGCTTATATTTAGGGGAGAAAGGGTATCTGCTTTACTTTCCCTAAAATTTAGGGGAAAGATGAGAATTAATCATTTAACTTATGTACCAAGGAGTTGCCCAGAATAGAGCCCAGGGGAAAGAGCTTAGAAAGAGAAAAGAAATTCTGCTCTCCCTGATGCTGCTTGCTGGGGGTCAGACTAGAGGTGCCCAGAACTAGAGCCCCGAGTGTCATCTCTAACACAGTAGGACATTTTTTTCTTCCCAGACGTCTCTGTTTGGCTGGGAGGGTGAGTCAAATCTGAAGCTGGGAATTGTGGAAGTTGACAGTGGGGGGCTTGAGATGGAGGAGGCCGCAGGGCAAAGGGGGTTAGGGAAGGAAATATACAAAAGAGTGAAGTTTATAAAATGAAAACTTTCGGAATGGTTTAACATTCGAAAGATCAACGAACAGATCAGATTTTAAAAGGAGGTAAAATACAGCACAACAAAACGAGACACAATTAAACAAAAACGGGGACAATATATAAAACGCTTCAAGTAAATTGTTCTTCAAAAGAGGAGGCATTGGAATTGATCAAAAGAGACCTTGTTCACACCCCCATAGAGTTTCCCAAACAATAAATTCGTTTACAAAACAAAAAGAGGAACCAACACAAAACTAACTCTCGGGCCACCCACGGAGGAAAGAAATCAAGGAGATTCGGTAACAGCTGAAAAACTGCTGAGGGAGAAGAAAAACAAATGAATAAACTTGAAACCTGTTAAGTGATTGTAAATATTGGAATTGGAAGATGGGTTGGAGAAAGGCGTGAACTTGACATCATTCGAGAAATTAAGCCTGCGAAAGCATAAGGTGCAACTCATCCCCAAAGAAAAGTAAACTTTCCATAAGTAGAATGCTCCTCTCCAAAAGAAAGGAAAACTTACTCAAAAAGTACCACTCACACCCCCCCCAAAAAGTATATTAATCTGAACTTAATCTTTCCCCAAATCTGAAATAGATTATACAAAAAATACAAAAGAATTGTGTGTGTGTCAACTAAGAGAAAAACAAAATCAGATTTAAATTGTCCAGTGGGGTAGGAAGGGACGTTGTTGGCAGGTGCCAGAAAGGATGGGGGAGGAGTGTCTGAGGGCGGAGGACCGCTTACCTTGCTCTGGAGCCGCCGCCCGACAGAAGTGGCCTGCGTGTTGGGGGAAAGGAGGAACAGGGCATCTGGGTGTCCCTGGGCGAGTGAGGAGAGTGGAAGGACTGGGGGTACCCTCCTCCCCACCTCCGCCCGCCTCCCTCCGGTACCCAGGCCGCTAGAGCTACTGAAAGTTACAAATTGCTTCCATTATTAGCTCATCCCGGGCGGCCTGGTCATTGGCCAGCCTCGGACCACGTGGTCCCTCGTACCAATCGATCGACTTTCTAGTTGCAATTCTCTGTCTGTCCCTTGGCTCTGAGCGGAGAAGGGAGGGGGGAGTGGTGGCGCGGGGGCTGGGGAGGGGCTACGGGGGTATCTTCGCCCCCTCCCCGCCTTGTCCCAGCCCTGAGTGCCGCGCCAGAGGGGTGGAGGGAATGTTGTGGGCCGGGACACACCCGGGACGACACAAACTGGAGGAGGCGAGAAACGTCCCCCAGGACCCAGGGCCCTCTCCTCCCAGCGCCCCGGCGC